GTCGTGCCCCGACAATGCAGTGTGAACGGCGACCACATCGAAGCAATTTACTTTCCAATCATGAAGCGATGGCGGACAACTCAAATAGTGCTCCATGTAACAACAAATATTGGTCTACTGACTTCTAAAAGGTACGAGACACGAGTCTGTTTTCCTTTCAGTGTTTTCTAAATACAAATACTATCTGATAAATGCGTGTAAGTACATTTTTCTTTTGATTATGTGTCCGAGTGTAACTTTACCTTTATTAGCGACGACTGTCATTAAGTAAAAATCTACTACAAAAGTATTGGGTTCAACAACAACAAATCATCACAAATGTTATGATTGATATTGTGTTGTGAGTGGTTGTTATAACAAAAGTACACATAAAATGCCCATTAGAGCGTAACAATTAAATTAACAGTGTGACGTCACGGATGACGTCATCAGACATTTCCATTTCTCGGGTAGGTTGTAATAAACCGCTATATTTATGTGATGAGAACAGTACTAGGTAAAAGTTTTCCAATAACTAAATGGAGGCTGCATTTGCCAAATAAAATACTGTAACCCAATGTTTATTTTGTGTTTATTCATATTTTTGGCTAGGTAATAATATGGGATTGTTTTTGTTCTGTTCATTCATGTTTTAGTTCGTTCGTTGAGATATTTTTGATGTACGTGTGGGTGGAACAGATAACAAAGTAGGTATTGTTAGCAGAAAACTGACCTAACACAACATTAATGTAATTTTCGTGTTCTGTTTTTTGTACCGACTTTACCTCCTTATGTCGATTTTCCAAATATCAACTGATCGTTGAGCTTTTTCTCTCAAGACTCAGTTACGAAAAACAAAACACTGTCACATATTTCTCACATCAAAGAATACATTTTACGATCAATTTAAAAACAAAGCAATTGATCTCTATAATAGAATCAATTACCCATTAATTCTACAATCAGAACTACACCAACTATAAAACTGTCATAGCAACTGTGTAATGGCGATCGCGTTACGTAATTAGGGCGTTGATATGAAATCATAGTACATGCTCGCTCGCTGTGGTATATGAATGGCAGTTTCAAGTAATTCACGACGAAAATAAGGAAGTAATAGTAAAGTAAAAATCTTGATTGTAACCACATAATGGGTAACGGAGCATGGGTAATAACACGATTGTTACGTTTTGTTCAAGTTTAGCGTTTTTCTTGTTCCACCGTAAACGCGGGTAACTCGCCGCTCGTCTACAGTAAGGGTAACTCTACACTCGGACAGAACAATACGACGCGTTCGGGGCCACTAGGACTGATTTTTAACTAGGGTTGCGGTTGTAAGCTCATTAATGTACTTGTCAGAGTCTAACCATCTCTCACCCGACCCATGGAGAAGACATTTAATATTTTTTTCCCTTAAAAAAGCAAGTACCTACCTGAGACTTTTCTTCTAATTTTCCTGATTATTATAATGACGACTTTTTGGCAGTAGGTAGCAAGTGGAATCTGGTGTTGTGTTTGTAACAATCATGTCGTAAGTTACTTAATACCTTAAGTAATAAGAAACAATAAATAGATATTTCTTAGAGCTTAGGAATTTGCCGATAATATAGTAAAAATGTATAGAAGCATTTATTTACTCTGCAGAATTACATAGAAATCGAATAGATAACAATTTCTCTTTTATAGCCTCATACCTTTTACGGATGGCATTCTTATATGGCTATAGAAAAGGCATTTCTTTTCCCGCCACATAATATTCACTACAAAATGAAACTTTCCCATTGCTTAAATTTTATTTTATTTAACAGTAAATGAAGGAAAATGCTTTAAATATCTGAAGTATGTATTTTTCTATTGTCTTAAAACTCTGCAAAGACAATTTTATTGCAATACTAGGCAAATTCTAACAAATACTTATGATTTTATTTTTAAAATAATCGAAAAGAACCGACTTCTAAATATATATTACCGAAATGTTACGAGCGATCTAAACTTGTGGATGCAGTCGGCCGGGTTAGGTGAGACGGATTTAGCGCGAAGCATTTTAGTATATCAGCCTATCTTTGTTGTTCTTGCCACAAATAAATATTTAACACAAACTCTAAGGAATTTTATGTACGCATTGCCAACATAAGTAAATAAACCATGTTTTATAAAGTGCATGTTCTATAAAATTTAAATTCACTGCTTTTTCAGTGCTCATCTTTCAACGTTGTTGCTATTCATCCAACTGTGAATTAGCACCTTGTATACACGCCTTCAAAATGTTACAAGCTGCTACTTACATTTCATGGAACGCGTAAACCTAAAGATACCAAGCTAAATATGTACAGGCGGTGAGAGCAAGTTTCTTTTGCTAACATAATTAGTTTTTTTTGTCCTCGCTACGCGCAATGAATATATTTTTTCAACCGGCAAAACAGGCATTTTCTGTTGCCTCATTTCTTACGAGTATTCTGCACCTTACACTTGTGTTAATGATAACATAATTAATACTACATTTAGCCCCGTCTCCTCATACAGAATAATTACGAGAAAACGATGTTCAAATGTGTTTCAGGTGTGAAAACATTTGGGTTGTTTTATGAAGCTTCCCGAGGTAATGGATTCACATACCTGAATGAATACTGTATTTTACGGTTGTTCCACAGAAATTTAATTGTAATTAGAGTGAATGAATGTTTCATAGTACATATTATAGTTAATGAAATTATGTTTAACATATGTTTGTATGTCCAAGACTGCTTGCATTTTACAACTCAGAATTGCATTTTAAATGGAACTGATGTTGTTAAACATTAGTACCCTTGATTCTGTTTTGTTTTGTTTTATTTGTTGCACATAATAGTTTTACATAAATAAATATCAAAATAAAAATAGATTACCTCTTTAAAATAATTTATCATTCAAACGAAACTAATTAGACATACTAGCTAACGTGACTTGTTTAAAAACTCCAATCAAAATAAATAATGTTTTCCGTATTTAGTAACGGAATCGCCCTCCAAATTCTAACTTCAGCACATTAAAGTCGTACCCTCAAATAATCTTCTGGCGCACCGAAATTTGTCTCTGAGTTTAAATGAGCCGCAAGAGAGAATTATTCGTATCATTTGTTAGGTATTAGAAGCTGTAATTAAGTGTGGCGGTCCTAATGATCCTATAATGTTACAGAAGGCGATAGTTTTATTGTTACATTTACTGAAAGACGTCAAATGCTTTGATGTCTTCGTGTCTTTAAGCGGGGTTGAAACGAACATTGTGTAAGAGTTATGATGGCGACGAAATTCAATTAAATTATTTTCATTCTACACTAAAACATATTTCAGCCTATATACCATAGCGCTCGTGTCTACAAATCGTGCTTAATATCTTGGAAGTAATATTCTAGGTCATTGACCGTTTGTCGTAAATATTAGGTGAGAATACAAATGACATAAAAGCATGAAGGATTATTACGCTAAGGTGCGCATGAAACCTAACAAACGCGGATACTTGATATACAAAATCCGCACAATTACAGGTACATGTCTTCACCAAATAGGTAATTATTCCATTTTTTATTTGATTTCATTAATTTTCTTTCCGTTCCACATTGACTGACATTGTATTGTATTGTAATTACCATAAAAAACAATTTTAATTGCAAATAACCGTCCATCGAAATTGGATACGGCTGACGTAGGCCTCGACTGATTGACAGTTGCATTTCATTTCAATTAGTGAACCTAGAAAACAGCTAGTACTTACTACTATATGTTAAATGTATATGATAGTAATCAAACTTTAGTCTGAATAAATACGGTATTTATTTTTCACAAATAAATTCAAAAGTTCATCCATATGTTCGCTATGAAAACTAAAATAAATGGGCTCTATTCGCGGAGCACTGTTTGTAGGTCGCCTAGGATATTGAAATAGACCGAAATTTCATGTTTCCGTTTTGTATAAATTTGAATGAATAATAAAACATGTTGGTACATGTAAATATTTCAGTTTTGAGTACTTTGGTACTACGAAGTGAACCGTCTTGCCGAGTTTCCAAAAGTGTTTCCGAAGTTACAGTTGTTTTCGTTACGATCAAAGTTTTTCATGGATTTTTACAACAGACGCATTCCCGAAGTTATTTTTCCTATGTAAATAGTTTATCGTTTTAGATTTATGATGTTAGAATAGTTGAAGTATTTGATTCCCGAGGTTGCGTGCGCGAGAAACATAGCGTCAGTGACGTCAGATTAATTTGATCAAAGTGGAAATGCCCCGAGCATTTTCCACGCTACTTGTTTCGAGTTGCTGTCAACGGCTCGGCTAATGCTTCCGTCGGCTTCCAATTTTAAACTTTTGATGGTGTTTACGGGTGCGGCACAATTTATGCCTCCGTCAATAATACAGAATCAATTTGAACACTTCGTGAACGACCGCGATTCGGTTCACTGGAGTTCCACCTGTTTCTTTTGTTTATCAATCGCTCTGTAAGCTGTTTTGATTGTCACGTTTGTACCCTATCAATTTGCGGTCATCACAAATTGTAGGTCTGTTGGGATTTCACTGCGTTCCCAAATAGTTGGGATGGGTTCTACCGCTACCGCAAAACAAATTATGCGGATCGTTACAGTTAGCGTGAAAAGCTACAATGATGGGATCCCACGGCACGAGTTCAATGGACGATGCGTTCGTCACGTTTACTTGCGTAGCGTCAAGATTAGAATTATAGCTGCCTTTACTGCTTATCTAAACAGTGAACAGAAATCACGAAACGAAACTAATTTACCGTTTTACGTTACATTTATAAATTAGTCAATTAATGCCTTTGAACTGCATACGGGTGGTAAATACGCCGTTTGATAATCAGAAATCGTTGTAAATCTGTTTGTAGAAAACCGATTGCCCTTAATGCAAAAAGAAAATTCCTAAAAAAATCTGCTGTTAAATGGAAGACGTTCAAGACGTGTTACTATTATGAAACTTTGTATAATTAATGTGTTTGTAATATAAACTAACGGTGTAAAACTTTTTTGTAGGTTGGACGGCCAGAGAAATGCCGCTCCGTATCAGCTGGTGGCACTGGGGGTGCAACGATAAACGAGCGGCACTCCTACGCAGAGGGCAGAGTGCCAGCACCCCATGGTACTCCGTCCTCACCTGGCGCAGCGGCTGCGCAGCGAAAAGTTGCTGCCGCTTGCTTCGCCAGCCGCCGCCTCTTAGAGGAAACTCTTGCTAAAAGTGGTATGTTATTTTTTAGTTACCAAATATAGTGCAAGATATGCCGCTATAGAAACTTGAATTAAAACCTTTACTATAAGGTAAGGACATAACTAGGTGACTCCTTGCCTTGAAGTCTAGACCAATAACTTTCTTGCAATATCAATAACTTGGCTTTTTTATTTAATAGTTTTTTGTCGTTGATAGACATCGACACGACACGATCGCCCATCATAATATTAGAAGCACCTTGTTAATTACAATTCTTTTCTAAATTATGTCACCGCTGACGGCATTGCCCTAATACTGTCAATTATAGCAACTTCCTGCATAGGCTATTTAAGGAGCTCATTCTAAATATTACCATGCACCTAGAAGTTATGAGTCCAAAAAAAAAGGAGGGATAAGCGCTTGAAAATAAAATGAAAATTGAAGTTATTCAACTTCATAATATTTTAAAAACTGATATTAAAATTCGTTTGCTTAATTTAATTTTAATCTCAAGTACCTACCAAAATTTCTGCATGCCTACAATTCACTGAACTTCTAATGAACAAGGGTCTAAGCGAAATGTTTGACCTTTAGTCTATAAATGGCTGATCATCCGAACGCTGACCAGCGAAGTACTTAACCATAGTGATTTGTTCACAAACTGTAAGCGTTCAAACGGCCGATTTAACTAAATGCCAATGTTCTAGAATGTTCCTTTACAAGATCTGATAGAAACATTTTCCCACGTTTATACACACTTCTACGAATTATTTATCTGAACAGAGTTATAAAATGGAAAGAAAATTGTACTGTATTAGAAGCAAAAACGTTACCAAGCTCCCGAGATAGTTCAATAATGAAACCAGGTCTTATTTATAAGTGTTAAGAACCATGTTGCGCAAAATACTAACAGCTGTTCCCTGTAAAGTCTTAAAAGCAAAGTTTGCTTGAAATAAACATAAAATAACATTGTAATTAAATGAATTAGCGCATCTCTTTCATTCGTCTGAGTTCTTTAAGATTATTAAAATTCTCTTAAGACCATAACATAAATACGTCGACTCGGTTATAATAATTAACTCGACTTATGGTTCAGTGGAAATTTTGTCGCAAAAAATCCAAATAATTTTGTGCAGAAAATTTCAGTGTCATTAAAATGTAGCTTATGATTTAAGAGTTTAAAATGTAAGAAGTAAGTTTCAACTTTAATTAGTTGGTTATCTTAGCACACGGTGTAACAGACGTCAAAGAAAGTTGATTCAACCACTAGTTTGTGATACAACAAAGTAGGAAGCGTCCGGGAATACAAATACGTTTTGGAAAGTCAACGAGGTCGTATTTGTATGCAGTTACAATGTTCCAAGTTGACTTGAGTGGTTGGTCGCAATGTATTTTGATGTGGAGTTGCAAGACGCTGCGTATACCTAAATACGAAAATAACCTAAAATGTTTATCCAGTCGTGATTTTTCCTAAAGATTATTCAGTTAATTTATTTAATTATCATATTTACACACTCGTTCTTTATTTTTTCGTAAACTGATATTTTTTATGATTGACATAATGTAAACACATACACAATATAATATCAACCCGTAAATTGAATGACTTTTAACGCTTGTTCATCACAATATGTCGAGAAGATTGAAATATTGAGAGAAACCTCGATCATAAAACATTGATTGCTAATTACTCATCAGTTTCTACTTACTTATCACTCTTAAAGATTTTCAAAAGCCATAATGTAAAAAAGTTATTAATAATATTACCTTTTATATACAACTTTCATCATTGTTGCAAACGTTTGAAGAAAGTAAAGGAAATGTTGAGAACAGAGGTGTGAAAGTATTCTGCTTGAGACTAACTGCTTGATTATTTAAAGGCAAGGCGAGAATTTAGATGGGTTCTTACATGATTAGGTACTGATGCGTGATCTGAAATATTGGTTATAATCACGGTTTATTATGATTATAAAGACGGACCTCTGAGTTTGTTTCGGCAATTCTTCTCAGAGTAGTCATATAGGAAATGCCGGCTTTATCTAGTTTTTACATATAATTTTGACGTGATAAAGCGCTGTTTTATGGCCTATTTACAAAAATAGATTCATTGATTCATTGTTTCATTGGTTAAAAGAAATAAAAAGCGTAAAATCCAACACATAAAATATTCGAAATCGAAAAATAGTCAATTACAAACATGTCTCAGTAATTTTTAATGCATAGAAAAATCTCATAATTAAAACAAATCCAACAAAGATACCTTAAAAAGTATCAAATAAACAAAATAACAACGTCCCAGTTAATTAGGAGCAACGGTGTCTAAATAAAATTGCACTAAGTTAGTAAAATGTAAAACCTTTATTTTCGAACTCCATTGATCTTCTAAATTTGGAAGGTATTTACGGACATAGGAAACCATTTATCTCTCTCACTTTTGTATAGAAAATATTTGTCAGTTAATGAATCCAGATAATGGAGTGCTAACAAAAAGCTTTTGAGATATCTTCGTCCAAACACTTTTTAGTAAAACTCCTTTATTTTCGACAGTGACAAAGGTAAAGCGTTCACTCGGGTGAATTCAAAAATAGTTTCCCAGCGCTAGTTAGATGATTAAAACATTAATTAAATTAAATGGCGCTGCGCAGGGGCTATATCTTGGGAAATCAGGCCAATTGCGGTTTCGCCTCTCGACTCAGAATCGGTACACGAGTCCTGTAGTGACGACTGTAATTTCCGCTGATAATGTTATGTAAGTTTGTATTTAATTAGACTTTGAAATACAGATTTTTTAAAAGAGAATCTCTCTTAAGACATTTGTATTGAGGTTTTTAAATAACATATTTGTCAATAGTCCTTTTGCAATTTGATGTTAATAAGCAAACAGATGAAAGACACACTTAAGTGGACCTTCCTTTTTATGCTTAAAAACCTTTTCAAACGTTTCCTTACATCATTCCGTGCTGTAAGAGCTGAAGGTTGTCGCTTACAACTCGCAGTAATAGGGATGGCTTTTGAAAGAGGACAGCGGGAACAATGAGGCCCCGTAGGACTATATTGAGAGTCATGTAAAAAAATCTCTCCTGGACAAAGGCGGTCTAGACTAGAATGGCTTGTTTGAAATTAGATGCAGTCCTTTGCGAAGGGGGATCTACCCCTTTCTGTTTGCGAGCTAGCTAATCATTGATATTGACAACTCTTAATGGCGGACGTTTCAATCATGTATTTCTTTTGTGATTTTTGTTTGTAATAAACAATACGCAATCTTATCCTCCCTCCGTAACATTACTTTATTTGTTTTGAAATTGTAACAGGTCGTGAGTACATAAAGCTTTAATTTTATTTGTTATGCTCGTGTTGTAACGTGCTTTAAACCATGAGAGCCACAAAAGTATTCACACACAAATAAAGTTATATGTTATAAATTTGTAACCTTGGACTTTACATAGCTTTGTGTGTTGAACGCTCAATAAAAAATTCAAACAATAATTGGTATCGTGACTTCCTCAAAGTGTGATGATATTGTTCCTTTATTGAATAGAACTTATTTAGGTCGTTATTGTTCTGATTAATAACTAAAACTAATCCATGCTTTACCTTTACAGGAAACCCACCAACAATAGTTTTACCACCAAAAGGCTACTGGGTAGATGGAGTAGAAGATACAATGCCTGAAGGCGAAGATGTCGAACCCCGAGCACAACCTGGCACCCCAAGACAAGCGTCGAGGCGACATAACATCGACACCGACAACAGCGCCAAGTACTACCGGCGATTCTTCCTTGGCAAGGTAAGTTAAACCTTATTTTACACCACTTAAACTCCATTGTATTTTCTACGAACGTCAAGAGAAGCGATTCGCTAAAGTGCTGTTGTAGAAAATAGCGCATTATTAAGTTAAGGACGCTCTGGTCTACTTCAACAATTCATATGATGTAAAACGCTTTATGTCGTAAATGGCATTTTTAGCTTAGATTCTGAATGGAGACGTTGTATTTAAAAACATAACGATTCTATTGTTAAAGTAGGTGACAATGAATTTTATGACAACACAAAATTGAAGAGCATGGGACAATATTCTGTTGATGCGAATGCCAACAGCAACCTCTCTGATCTTCGTGAGCAAAGTCACGTTTCAAAGGTTACGGCATGACGAAAAGCTATGGCATAACGTGAAAAAAATACACAAATCAAATCACGATTTAATTGCTTTCGTGACCAAAGCGCACTTTCTTCGAAGTGGTTCGAGTGGACGAAAATAAAAGTGGCATTACAAAATGTGTATTCGGAACATCTGACATTTACGCGCCACGCTGTCTGCGGCCAGGGAAATAAAACTAACGCGTGTTGCCAACTCCGATGTGCCAATTGGACGTACGCTTGCATACATTATTCTCAATAAAATTGTTCATTAAAACCGCTACAGTTCGACATGAGTTGTTCTAGCTATAGACTTATTTTAAATCGATTTCTACCGTAGTTTAGATGAATACTTCTTACTTGTTATTAATTCCAAATCGCTACCAAAATAAGAAAGTAAATGTCCATTAAAACTTAACGTTAAATCAAAATGGATTCAACTTTACGACATCAAGATTACAAGTTTGCAAAACTATTAAAACTACTTTGGTTATAATCCTGGCAGGAACGTGTATAAGCACCCTATGTAACACGATTCGGGTGCACTTAACTTAAAAATAGTATTTTAAAAACGTCGTGTCCATTCCACTTGATCCCGTTTCCCTTGACATCGTATTGTAAATGAAATATTGCAGTCGACGCGTCAATGCGAATATCCTTTTACGCCTTGACCTCGCAAAAGGTCTACGAACAGGAACAAGATAATTGTTGTAATTTCTTTCCTAAGTAATTATTATGTTCAGAAAAGTAATTATTATTCAATTTACATTCATAATAAGTACTTATGATCATTCTGATTAAAAGCTTTTAGTGATTATGGAGGTCAAAAAAAGTTATGAAGTTCGATTTATGCGTTAACTCTTCACAGTTTATAGAATTTTCTATTGTTTGGTTTATTTCTCACGGTTGTAATAATTTTTATTCTGTTCTTAAGTTATCAAGACTTTATATCGTGCTGAGTGTACGATCCATATTTCAAACTCGACTGTACAATGTCAGTAAGACCACGACCATGTTGCGAAATGCTAGTTCTAATTTACTTGGTTGTGGTGTAACATAAATAGTTGTTAGTTTAGAGACGAAGTTCATTACGTTTTTCTCCTTTACATTAAAATAATTGTTGTTACAAAAAATAATTATTAGACCTAAATAAGTATGTTTGTTATCCGTGTCTTTCGTAATATTAGAAAGAAGGCACCTAGCATCAAGCCCTCTTCACAATTAAAATAGAAAAGGAATAAATTAATTGTATTAATTTTACACTTAAAATTACTATGTAGCTAAAAGTGATCATGTCTAGGAAACCCACGCTTATTAAATAATATATAAATATCAGACAAAATACTCATTTATTGAATATGTGTATTGTGTGTATCATACACACATATTTTAAATGTAACTCGACATTAAGTTCATCCGCTCCGCTCCTCCCTAAGCCCACAGCCTAAGTCATAATGCGTACTACATCGGTACAGTTACCGCCACGTGTGAACTTTCCCACACCCACGCCCATAGGCTCGCTTTTTGTACTTTTTTTGTAACATTTCGAATCTTCATAATTGCTATCTTTGTATCATGCGACACTTTTCGTTTTATATTCTTTGATGATGATCAATCGAATTTCTTTCGTTAGAACACCCATTCGATTGTTATTTATTGTTCTCTCATACAGTTTTTCGTTGTTTTCCATGGCCATATTTGTGCGAAAATCTTTAACTTTCGTCTTTATTCTGTGTATGGAACTGAGTTGTTCTCACGCTTTAAATGGTGAAATATCTAATTATAGCTGCGAAAGTGAAATTTAATAAAACTATTTTGTCAGGCTAGCATAGTTTATGGGACTTCTTATAAACAAGAGACTTTTGAGGGAAAGAGAGAGAATGGTCGTAGATAAAATGAGAGAAAAAAAGACCAATAGACCTCGCCGCGTATTAAAACAACAATATTTACTTTACAGTAATACCTATCTTTACTAAATAATCATAAATAACACGACACACTTAGCATTAAAAGCTTTGATTGAGCGGCAGAGGTGTACGATAAGTTGCAACAGTCTAAATAAACATTGCTTAATACTTGGCACATCAATAATATTATGATGTCCTTAAACATCAGGAGTATTAAACTAATACTAAAAATCATATAATTGAATATCAACGACAAATCCTATGAAATTTACAATTTTCAAAGTACTAACAAAATGGCTTAGTTCATTATATAGGTATGTACTACAAAATGTGCCAAAATCAACAAAAACATTTATTATCAATCGTTACAGGAAAAAACACTTGGTTCGAGTGAAAACCTTGCCACAAGTGTTTGCAATGTCGGTTTCAAAGTAATCATGATTCATTTATATATGTACGTTTCTAATATTTTATTCGTATCCATAGAAATGTATAATGTTATAGTGTAGTGAATGTGTCGTGTAAGTGCATAATGTTAGCCGGGAAAGTTGGTGACCACAGCCGATGTGGGTACGATGCCACTTGTTCTACTCATGAAGTTAATAACATGGATGAAACATCATTTCCGTATAATTTTACAGTGAATTCAAACAGTGTATTGATGATTTTATTGCAGAGTTTCTTTTAATTTTTCATTATTTTCAAATACATATAAAAACATATATTAAAGAAAATAATTCGTAGTTAGATATATATACGGCAATAATCTTGTATTAATAATCTATGCTTTTATCAAATTAATCAGGCGTATAATTTGTCGAGCATAAATTTCTCGGCACAATTACTATAACATGAATAAAACTTCATTCATTCCATAGCGAACACATGAGAGAAAATATGCTAGAAATGAGGGTGAAAAAACTGTGTCCACCAATTAAAAACAAATGCATCGCCAACCACCGATTAAGGGTCCTACCATACTCATTACATGGAAAAAAAAAACTCGCGAACGATAGTGGGAAAAAGCGTCTGGGCTCACGAACGCGGAACGGTTTGGCTTCACGCCCAGTGAGCCAAGTTCTCAGCTACATGTAGATTGCGCCGATTACGGCATTGTAGAGCAATTTGAGTCTCAACCCGCGTATGTACCCAGCCTTATCGTGCGTACAAATCTTAACAGACGCTTCGTTACAAAATTTTCAAAATATGCCTTTGACTTATCATTTATACCATGCCTAATTTAAATTTAATTATGTACCACCACATTCTTACTTTGGTCGTTTTATCAAGCTGTAATATGATATTTAAATTACTAGATAGCTTAAGGGGATAACGTTATTGTTATATTTAACATTTAGGTGAAGGATTTGTACACAATGGCGCTTCGGGTAAACCAAATTAGTTTTTGTTACAAAGAGAAATACGTAAAACGCAACTTACAAATTACTACGTTCTCCCACAGTCTGAATCAGTTTTCATTGTCACTAACATTCGAAGTAGATAAAGGCTTAAATAATCTAATTGTGACATTCTCAACTACATACGAAGCATTCTTAAAATTATTTTGCAACCTAATGACATTCAAAGTAGCTTTGATCTCTCGTTGCAATATTTATCGCAGACATAAAATAAATACTTTAAAACATAATTTAGCTAAAGGACTTAAGTGCGTATCTCATTCAATTTGCATAAAATATTGCAATCGTTACACGTCAACCCGGTAAAGCTGATGGGCCATTGTGACACCGCAAGGGTTAGGCTAGATGAATGCGATGCTCCGATCACTAAGCCGATAGCAGTGCTATGCTGACGTGTAAATACGTCCTGCTAGAGACCATCAGGTCCTGCCATAAAACCTATTGAGGGATAACACCGGCAATATAAAATGTTATGCCCATCGTGAAAATGAAATAGCCACGGCCGCTTCAAAATATTTCAAAAAGACTTGTTTTTGGTTCTGAACAAAATGCTAAAAATAAATAAAAAGTATAGCACAAACTATTATTTTGAGTGTATATTTCTACCTGATTTTTGTTTATTAGATAATCTGTCAAAACGATCAAAATAAATCGTTAATAATATTCTGTTAAATAATAATTTGCCAATCCATTCGCTGGAAATCAGTGACGATGACAGATGCTCGTGACAAAAGAAAAATGGAAGCAATAAGCAAATGTCTTCATTCATAACGCAAAATTGGTTTGGGGACAATTCATTTTGGCGAAGAATTGATGGGGTAAAAATGTTATTGCTATTTTAGGTACCCTGTGAATCGAATTTTTTTTTAAAACTTGTTTTACGAAATTGATTTTATGAATAAAATAATCCGATTGATTTCTTTATAAAATAATTTTTAACAAAAAAAAAACCGACTACAAAACGTAAACTAAAAAGCAAAAAATAAATTAACTTTGTTTAAAATAACACATATTTTCATTTAGTTAAATATAAAATAATATTTAATAACTATTTTATAATCTTAAAGTCGGTGCCAAGTAAAAGAATAATAGTGTAAAGATATTACCTACATACCTCTTGCTAGTTTGATGATTAGTAGTATTCAATATATTTTTCTAATACTCTTATTGTTTGGTATGTAGTATTTACTTGGCACCGACTTCAAAATTATAAAATAGTTAATAAATATTATTTTATATTTAACTAAATGAAAATATGTGTTATTTTAAACAAAGTAAATTTTTTTTTTGCTTTTTAGTTTACGTTTTGAAGTCGGTTTTTTTTATGTTCGCCGATATCTCCGTTATTTATGAACCGATTTTGATAATTCTTTTTTTATTGGAATGGAGATAGTCTCAGAATGGTCCCATGAAAAAGAAATCAGGATCTGATGATGGAAGACCAGAGAAATCGAGGGGAACTTTCAAGAATTGTAGGGGCGAGTGGTGCTTTTGCATATGATTTCAGTAGGCTTTTGACAAATTTACAACTTGCCGATGTTCGAACCCGACCTGATGATGGAGCCGGATATATACGGTCGAATTGAGAACCTGCTCCTTTTTTTGGAAGTCGGTTAAAAAAAATCTTATAAGAAGGCAAGCTTACGCAAATAATGTGATATTTAAGAAATTGAATTTCCGTAAACGTTGCCACTTTTTGATGGAAATGTTCATCTCATGTAACATAAGATATTTATATGGAGAAAATCAACTTTACTACGAATTCATGTTTAATTTTATTTCATCCTAAATCAGTCCCCTACTTAATGTTTGTAATTCAAATACACTTTTATCAGCAACTTCAAAACCCTTGAAAAGGCAGCCAAATTGAAAAAAGAACTGTTAGATTCCATCTCGGATGACGTGATCCATCACGGAGTTTGAAAAAGGGCATTAACCCCTCGTCCCTTCAATTACCATCTTTAGCTTTCAATTTGCTTCTTTGTGGCAACGTGAAAAAGGCCATGCAATTTTGGGATATTTCTAAAAATGAACGAACTCGTATTTGAAGGATGAGCTCTTAATGATAATTATACTAGAGCAGTGGTGTGTAATCTCATAAATTAAACTTCTTATATTGCTTCGTAAGCAAAATGATTTATAAAAAGTTGAAGAAAATGATTTAAAGCTTACTCGGATTTTCTAGTCAACGATCTGTGTCCATTATCTTGTTTATTCGTAGTGAATGAGTTGCAGAGTACATTGACATACAATAATGACTATTTCTGATCAAAATAAGTCTTTAAAGATTAATCAAGCGAGTGGCAATCTTTCATTCAACATTGAAGATGTATTTATACTTGGTACAGAAATAGTTTGTCAATTTCGTAAATTGTATAAACACGCTTCATACCAAGCCTTCTCCCAAAGGGTTTTGGATGGGGAATGAGTAGGTGACTTAAATGTGATACAATTTCGAGAATATTCCACTTATCTAAGTAATTAAAATGACTAGCTTAAGTTCAGTTTAATAGAAGATAACGTTGATTTTCTTGAATCGATCTCGTATAATGTCTGCACGGATGGATATAAATAACTGTGTATTTTTCAATGTTTTCATTGAGCCATGCATTGTTTTATTGACAATGGCGTTTATCCTTCATTAAGGTTGTATGGGAATAAAATATAGGGTCTGACAAGGTTAATAGCGACAGTGCATTGTAAGCTAATTAACATCTCCCATGGTACATGAAGCTTTTGTTCTGACCTTGGTTTGCTAAAATATAGCATTTTGTATTGCTCAAAACTTTTGCAATTCTATTGCTCTGTCTACATTGTTGTTTCCCAATTTAGTTCCATGTTCACATATTTACGTTGAATCTATTTAATTGAGAGCACGATAAACACATGTGCTAATTAGTCGATTTGTAACAACAACAGTTTCCTCTATTTTGTAAAATATTTAAGTATTAATAATAATAATTGACTTGATATAAACGTGATTTAAATTCTAATTAACCAGCTTGTTATGTTCTGTTTTGAATTGAAACTTATTTATGTATGTGCATAACATGGAATCTGGTTATTAAAATATTTATGTATGCGGTGTCGTAACTATCTAGCTCATTCTTCTTTCCTTGTGGGTGTGGAAAATCTGTTCATAGTCGGTAGTGAATGACATCACCATTAAATGCTCTGATTCAGCCAATAATTGCGAGCGCACTATCATGTCAGATGTCATTAGATCAACTTCGTCTTTTGTGTCATCTCAATCAAGGGTCCTTGAATATTAAGTGCTCGTTCTAAGAAGTACATTACCCGAATGACATTTTTCTTCCAAATGATATGACAATAAGGAATTATAAAAAAAGATCGTAAAAACATTCTGGGCTGGACTACTAAATATCGTAACATAATTACACCCGAACCAATTATTTTAGAATTGAAATATTAACATCGACCTATCAACGTTACTGGAACATAATCCCAGATGCATTATCAAACACACACTGCGAATGTTTGTGGAAACTCGTTTTAATCCAATTACTTACGTTGGCTTTGTTTGAATTACACATTATTTGATATTAACCAGAAACACAATCATTACGAGTTGGTATTCACGGACTAAATTGATTCAGCTTCGAGTCTGATGTAGGTATGTTTAGAAAAGCCGCATTGATGTTTCTTGTTCTGGGTAAAGACTAAATCTGAATACCTTGAATGTAATATTCCTTTTGATATAATTATTACCAACATATTTCTCAGAAGTCATATTCCACATTTACTCTAAGCTTCTGATGTAAATAGTAATATACATGATGTAAATAAATACTAATTCTGTTGGTTCAATGGCATATGCGCACACGATCTAGACGATATTGCTCAGAATTTTTTCCTTTTGTTTGATGGGTTGTATAAAATTTTTCTACTTTAATACTGTAATTTTTGTTCACAGGAACACATAAATTTGGTCGGATCTGACGAGAATCTCGGTCCGGTAGTGATGTCCCTCAAGAACGAACACGTGGCTAGTCAGGATCACACTAGAATATTATTGAGGTTTCGCACGCAAACCATACATGGACTTATACCCACCACTAGTGAGTAAACTTTACAATCAAATAAAATGAACTAGATTAATTGATTACTTTTCTCGTTCCTTAAAAGTAAATAGTAAATTACCGCGCACACAACGGTTACGAGTTAAACTAGTTTCCCGATAGTTGTCCTATAAATCAAATTTAATGGAGGGTGATATTAAGAATCAGTTTAATTACCAAGAATGCTGCAACCACACTCATTAAAAGTATTTTGCTGCTTCCCGAGTAAAGAAAACTAGACTTCTCACTAAGTAGTCTCAGAGAAGATAATTTAATGAGAGAGTGGTTGTTAAAAAATCTTTAATATTTTCAGGATCAGGAGTAGTGCAATCGCCCCTTGAAATGGCAAAAATGTTAAACGACCAAGTGAACATTGACAACTTCACGCCCGTCATGTGTCTCAACGCGTCATCCCTGATAGCGCAGTACGACGAACATGTTTTAGTAAACTGCTTCAAGTTTGGAGTTCTATACCAGACTTACGGGCAGACGACAGAAGAACAACTGTTCGGCAACAACGAAATATCACCAGCGTTCGAGGAGTTCCTAGACATGCTGGGACAGCGGATCAAATTGAAAGACCATAAAGGTTAGTTTCCCTTGCCGATGAGAACTCTAATCCACTGGCAGAATGCCTACAGCCTATCTCGAGAATTTTGGCGTTCAAAACGCTTAGAGCTTAATTCCAGGCCAAGAACTCTACCGTAGCGATTAAATCGAAACTTTATGGATTTCGAGGATACATAATTTTAACTAAACTGCTGTAGTAAACGTTGTATCTGTTGTAATATTTCACGTTAAATGTACACAATCTAATATACTTTGTGCATCGCATGACCCTTACAATTTAATTAGTATAACTTCCTAACCAAAAATTGCTTCGCCAGGCTACCGGGGCGGTCTGGACATTATAAACGGCCACACAGGCACGGAAGCCGTTTATGAGACGTACAACGACCGCGAAATAATGTTTCACGTGGCGCCCTTATTGCCACACACCGCCGGCGACGCTCAGCAACTGCAGAGGAAAAGGCACGTCGGCAATGACATCGTAGCGATTGTATTTCAGGTAAGATTTTTTTTCTGTAGGTATCATAGTAATACAATCACTTGCTTCAATCTTATACCACTTTTTTATTATTATTGTAAATGCAAATTAGAATTAATTTTGCGCTCTAAATTGCTATTGACTCGAATTCCAATTTCCAATCGGTTTGCAAGTTATTTATATCCCCTAAATAAACATGTAATTGCATAAAATTGCTAAACTTCAGAAATAGAGTGACTGGTGATCATAACAAAATGCATGTTTAGTGAACAATAGCATAATGCAGACTTGAAGTAATGTTATGTTGTTCTATTGTGAAGTCAGGACTCAAGCACATAGTAGAAATGCCGAAACGCTTTTCATTGTAGATTGTTTATGACTGTATTATACGAAATTCTGCAATAATTTAACAAGTTTATAGTACTGTTTTGCGTAAACTAAACAGACAGCCGATGTTAAATCTTTTATTGCACAATGTAATGAGATCTATACCATTTCAATCACATTTATGAATGAAGGCAACCACTGTCTGTTTGTCCTTAACTGGTTCACAGACTTTACGTAAGCTTTTAGAACCAACAAAGCAGAGTAAGGTTTGGCTATCTTACTACTGATTACCATCTTAGCAATGACTTAGACTAATTTCTCATTGTTTTCATTCTCAGGAGAAGGCAACACCTTTCACACCTGACATGATAGCATCACACTTCCTCCACGCGTTCATCGTGGTCACACATCTGGAATCTGCTGGTGGGGAGACCAGGTAAACAACTTATGGTTATTTCCTTGCATAAATCTCGGATATTATTATTATGAAACGGATTTTATATTCATAGGAAATCATCATTTTAGTTTCTTTATGATGCTGTCAAACAATTTATGTGATTGTGTCTTTAGCTTTTTCCAACCATCCATCCTTTTTATCGACGACATCGTGTATCAATCTCAAAGCATCTATTCCCGTTTCATTACTGAGCCCAGTTCCTTCCAGATATAAAACTCGAACATATTTTAAAATAAATTCACCGCACTGTCTATAAAAGTTTATTTTTATTCATGCCGTCGAATGAATTCTTTCTATTTTTATCCAACAAACTTGAGTTTCTGTTTGGTAATTTTTTTTTCAACTTGTCAAGTGAATTGTTTAACATAAAGTTTGTGTTGCTTCTCAACAACGCACAGTGGCATTATTTGCATAGCAAGTCGGGAAAATAGCTCGGAAAGTAGAATGGAAATTTTCTCAGTAATTTATATGCAAACGAATCCGGACTCGGTAATTAGAGAGCTTTTTATGGGAACACTAGATGAACGAGTCAGTAAATGTCTTAATGTTTTTCTCTGATTTGTTAAAGGTCACTTGTAATAGATTCTTGTAATAGTAATAGCTTCATTAAAGTACGCTTAAAACCTTGTGTGTAGGTAAAGAGCTGTCAGGCGCAGATGTCAGTGATACTGATAAAGGTCATGTGAAGTCTTTTGTGTAGGTTAATCAAGTTATCGAGTACAAGTTTTTATACGATACAATGTAAATTGAATACCTCAACATCATCATCGTGTAGTCAAGTACATCTTGTTAAATATTTGAGTAAGAACTCTACGATTAGATAGTGTTATATATTTTTCTTCATACAAAACATATCTTCAATGGCGGACTATGCCATCCCTTAAAGCATTCTCTAACAGTCAAACATAGGTTGGTGCACAGAAATCAAACGTGTTAATATTATATTATAATCAGTTCGTTTAATATAAACTTATCCGATTCCAGGTACAAAGTGGCCGTCACCGCTCGTACTGACGTACCATTCTTCGGGCCGACTCTCCCGCAGCCGTCGATATTCCGCAAGGGGCGAGAGTTCAAAGAATTCCTCCTTACGAAGCTAATAAACGCCGAAAACGCGTGTTACAAAGCAGATAAGTTTGCTCAACTTGAGTTAAGGACCAGAGCATCACTACTGCAGAACTTGGTGAATGATCTGAAGACGAAGACGACAGAGTTTTTGGGCGCTGGAGTGAGGTTGGAGCCAGGCGCGGTCTCGCCACAACCTGATGGCACCCCAAAACAAGATGGCCCTGGATCACGTTTCATCGATACAGTGAAAAAGGCGTTAATTTCTAAAGTCAGGTAAATATCGTAATCTTTATCACATTTATTTACATTTAATATGAACAAACACAGCTATGCAAATAGATTTCGAATTCCAGACAAATAAAATACAGCTGGTACTAGAATTTCTTGAACATATTTTCCAGTTTTTCATTTTGTACTGACCAATTTTTTTTCCATTTCCAGATCACCAAGTGTAGACACGAATCTCTCAGGCGATAGCAACAAGAATGCTCTAAATAAAAATAAGTTCGTTCCGAATGAAACTCATACTCCTAATGTAAGTATTAACTAACCATTTTTTTTATTACATAGTTATTAATAATAATACTGTTCTTTTATACAATGACATCACAAAGAAAGTGAACAGTTCTATCAAAACATTAACTATTATAATAACTGGCAAGACAATGCGATTTGCATAAAGGCTGCTTAAAATTCTTAGCATCACTCAATGTGCTTATTCTTAAATGGACTTCCACCTGCGTCCACTTCTTATGGCATCTGTACTAGGAGAGACTATAATAAATATTGATATTAATACTTTATTATAAGGAACTGAGAAACATTTAGTCGCACATCATCATCTTGCAGTTCTATTTGTATAGACTACAAATTATCTTCCGGAAACGGTTGATCTGCTTATAGTTTTGTGTGGATGAAAATAAAAAACAACAATATCTCATTAAGAACAAAATTGTATCCTAATTAAGTTATTTCAAGGTCACAGGACAGTGAACTACTCATTAAATGCCACAAAACTAGAAGACTTCTTGATCTGAATTATAGGAATTCTTGGGGTCTGTAAAGTATGGACATAATTATAATTTTGAACAATTTTTAACTAGGTCTTCTATACTTTAATGGACGTTAGTTATATTGAGAACTAGCTAAGCGAACTTAATTTTTTATTTTTGTACGCACAAACCTCTGAACAAATAATTCAAAACCAAAATTATCCAAATCGGTTAAGGCATCGTTGAGTTACATTTCATCATCGTAGACATTACAACGAAGTGGCATATACAAATATAGATGACAGTAAAAATTTTACCTATTAGGTCGATATACCAAAATACGACGTAACAAACTTTTAGCAAGTTTCAACAATTTCTTTATGGTTATTTGCAGAGCGCTCGTTCCAAGTCATCAGTGGCGTCGTCGTCTGCATCGGCGGTGTCGGTTCGGTCAGCGGGTGGGTCGGGCGCATCGCATGCGTCAGGCGAGTCCAGCCCAGACGTGACGTCACGCGCTGCGCCCCCCCGTCCCCCTCTCACCGACCATAGCGACGACTCCAGTCTCAACTCTGTGGATTTAGACCCGCTTGGTTAGTATACCTTCTTCATTCAGATGTCTTTTTGGCTTTGGGTTTTATTATGGATTTTTTGGGAATTTTATCGAGACTGTTTTTTGGACATCCATTACCGTGCAAAATATATATTAGTGGTCCGTTAATCATGTCCGTATCATCATCCAATGTCAGCGATAGTATGGAGTTCGATGTTAAAATCATCTTATGCATCTTAGCATGTAATTTCATGGAGTCCATAGAAAGTTTTAAAATAAGTAGATTTTTTGGGAATTTAATCGAGAGTGTTTTTTGGACATCCGTTACCGTGCAAAAATAATATTAGTTGTCTATGAGAATCATACCCGTATCATTGTTATTTACCACCGTTTGGAGTTCGATTTTAAAGTCATCTCATAGATTCCGTTTGCCCAATATTTGAACGTCATTATATCATTTAAATTCAAGAAATCCCTAGAAACTATTAAACGAAATGACCTAGTTATTTTTGGTCGATGTTGCATGTTGGTGACACCCAACTCATATCAATAGTTTTGGTGAAGTAATAGTGTGATTTCTTCCAAATAGACGACAAGGACTGGCTGAGTTGTGGTAAAAGTGCAACAGGTTAGTCCTGTAGTTAGTTAGCGTTCACGTTTTTAGTTCACCTGTCGTCTTTAAACGCATGATGATCCTTTCTATAGGTTTTTGTTCACAAATATTATGCGTTCGTGTATTCGTTTTATGATTTCACTAGTAAATGGATGTTGTTTAGACACTTTTCTGTAGTTTAGTATTTAGTATTCAGTTTGTCAATGTTCTGTCCTTGTTTTCTATTCGTTGTTTCAAGACACTGCTTCTTCTGTTTTAAATTGTTGTGCACAATATATTTTACGATACAGTAGCATTTTAGAATTATAATAAAACACGTGAACAAAAACTAATATAATTATACATATAAACTTATTGGGTACCTAATAGCATTTTACTTAAAATACTGACTTAAAAATACTTTCTTATAAAATGCTGTATCAATACTTACCTATAATGTCTATAAAGTTGATAATATTCAATGAACGAGTTTAAAAATTCATATGTATCTTTTAGTTATTCAGATAACACTCTTATTCAAACTCGTAATTCTGGGCAACAGATTTACCTACCTAACGTTTATTTTTTTATTAATTTAGAATTTAATCTCAAAAATATTCTGATATTTACTTTTATTAGAATGTTCAGGAATAAGATTTTTTCATTTTTCTCTTCTTAATACGGTTAAAAGTCATTACATAGCAACACATATACTCATAGCAGACTAAAATTCTTAGTATTAAACACAGTAAAACTCATACCTCTACTAAAACCAGTGTGATTACGACTTATAACGAGCAGTGTAGTATAATACTAACAAAAGCGTTTGTATGTCCAGGTGGAGTGTACGTTGATAGTGACACGGGTCTCGAATCTATGTCCTCGGCTGAAGCGGGGGCAGCGTGTGGGGGTTGTGCAGCGGGAACAGGGCGTGAGGTCACGCCTCGAGACGCTGAGATGTTACGCCAAGAAGTGTGCCGCCTCAAGAACGATAAACTTGACCTGCTCAAACAAAATATCGTAAGTACATTTGTAAAATAAGAAAAGGTATTTGAGTAGGTATAGAAACAGTGTCTTAGCCACCATCTGCCTTGAACAAGCGTGGAGATTGATGTTCGAACCTTCTCCATTTGAGAAGCTTTCTTCGCTTAGTAGTAAGCACTTATAGGTCGATGGTGTGATGTGATGACCTTTGATTGGCTACTGAACAAACCAGTCGTAAGAGTACACGATTTGGCTTAACCCGTAAAATGCCGATTACAGATGTCGCTTGATCACAGGAGATTTAGGGTCGGTTTATATCTAACAGAAAATATGTTATTTGTCGTGTATCAACGCTAGAACAGACAAATACATAATAAAATATTTCCACTTTCACATCTAACCGATATGATTTGTTAGTTCGTCGATCTTAAATCGACGCATTTTCCTGTGTCAGCTGTGGACCAAACTTTAGCCTCTCGAACAGGCAGTTAAGTCTTCCACTTTATAGTGAAGTTAGAGTAGTTAAATGCACCACGACTACAGTTTTAGGTTAAAACCCCTTCTCTTTTTACGGTTGTCTTAAGAGCTGATTAAAGAAAACACAGATTTTAATGAGATTTTTAGATAAACCTGATCATTTTAAACTTGTGTAAATAAATAATTCATCATTGTGTTTGCAACTATCATTACTTATAGCAGACAACAAATTTTTTTTATTGACTTTACAATATCGTATTACACGAACAACATTCTAAATTCTAACCTTTTCTCTTCCAGACATGGCAAAATGAGATCAAAAGTCTACGTGAGAAAGAGTTGACATTACAAGCGGAGCTGAACTCCATGTCGAGGGAAATGCGGAGACTTCGGGAACAACAGGTCACAGGCACCATCATACCCAACCCATCAACACACGACTCCACCGCTTAAATATAAACCTTAAACTCATTGATATAAGATACCTATTCAAAGTACACACGTACGATTCTTATATGACGCCACCGCTTAACGTATCTTGAACTCTATGCCTTCGCATTAAGGTACGTCTTGATGACTACTGTGGAAGAGATCTGATTATAAATGACCAAGTAAGGTAATCTGGGATTTAGGATGTTTTGCTAAACAAATGTTTTAGTAGTAGTTACTTGATGTCGCTACATTATATATATGTACGTTGCTCTCTTTACAATTTGTAGCGATTATGTGCAATATTGTGTTCTTATATACGACTGTGCAATCAAACAAGGTAAATTGCATTGTTTAATTGTTATTTTTATGTAGAAAATTCTTCGTATTAAATAATGCTATTTACAAAGTTGTGAAGCTGAACAGTTTGCAATACAGATGTTGTTTATATTATAAAGTAGCAAAACTATTCCTTATATTTATTTACCTATATAGATGTCCCAGTTTATTATATTAGTAATACTAAATTACTTCTTAGGTCGTGGCTTGACTGACTATTAATGAGAAATGCTAAAACTTCGACATAATTATAACGATTCTATAGTTAATTAGAGAGAATATGATTCGAATCTTTTTATATGTTGTTATACCAAAACTGAATTGTTAATTACGTTGTTTCTCTTGTACATTAAACTTTGAAATTTTACTATCGCTACATTTTTCTTATAAAGCTGAAGATAGACGAAGAAGCAAACAATGTGATTGGTATCCAAAATAATGTGACTAAAGTTACATGCAATATGACACGAGAGCAATTTTTCACTATAACATTATTGCTGTCTTTATCTATCTTTAAATAAAAAGAAAAAGAGAGAGATAGTTTAAAACTAAGTACACTTCCGCGTTCAGAAACGTTTAATGATTACTTAAACTATTCCTTAGTATCGATTTTTCATTTAAAAAACATAGCTTAGTACTAGGATTAAGTAATAATTAAAGGCTGACCACAGCGGGGGTTAATGTACAAGCGAGACAACCCTATGTCTAATGTTAGGCTACTCGCTTTTTGTAATTGTTGTGATAACTTAGCTTACTTGAAACATAAAAAGTACTATATAGAAATCATTTTATATGTATTTCACATACATTTGTATTTATTTCGGGTAAACAATACCATTTGTGTTCTTCGAATTCGCGTTTCTCGCGCAAAATCATTTATTTTTTCCATTAGTAGATAAGAATAGAGGTTTTATATCTCATTGCGTCATTGATGACAGTCTAGAGTGCTTCTTTCTATTTCGAAACCCTTTGATTATATTAATAAAAAAGTTACAATTAAAAATAATTTTTAATCATTAAGTAAAAAGTCGAATCGTCACATTCATATAAGTGAATGCATACTCAAAGGGATGATTGTATAAATAAACAACTTTGTTTTAATTTAAGGAGCATTCATAGACTGATTTATTTCTCAAATGTTCATAGTGACATTAAAAACGGAATTTTACGTATTAGGAATTACTTAGACGACAAAAATAACGGTACCTATTAAAATAAGCCTTGAATTTATCTTGTAGGAAGCCTATATACATTATGGTGCGTTAGAGAAAAATATATAACTAAAAAAAATGATTCTTATACGTTGAATTTGTATGGAGATCCCAGTACAGTATGATTTTGTACGTAGTTTGTATTCTGCACAACAATGTATCTATTCCTTTATTTCCGTTTCGCTTCACAGCCTTACTAGGATGATAACTCTAAAACACTATTTCCAAAAATCATCTTATTCACTCTATCTATAAACGTTAGAAAGAGACAAACGTATATTTGTAACTTCTCGTTGTAAAATCGTCGCTGTAAGGCTATTATTATCATTTTAATTTACAAATTTAAGTTCACCAGTTACTGTAAATATATTCTTGACTGGTTTTAGGCTATTTAATTAAACAGTATTTTTCATTTAATTTATGCTTTGATTATAAGTTTACGTTTCTCGAGTGCATTGAGGTTGAATAATGTTTTGTTGTTTATAATTAATATTTTATACCAAAGTTAACATTCCCCACTAAATAGTTTAGAGTTTTTTTTTATATAATTTTACCTTAAAGAAAACCAGTATTTGTAATGTTTTCAACTGTCAGAACAGGCTAACACTCATTCTAAGTTTACATTTAACCTTACTATTAAATGTATTCATTTAGATTTTTGTTCGACTGTTGATTATGAATAAGTTGATTAAAAGCAACTGTTGATTCGTCTTCACTTAGACTTAAACCAAATATTGAGCGCGGAGCGTTAGAGGAAATAGATATAATTATAAAAGATACCTATTGAAATATATGAATAGTTATTACTAAATAAAGAATTGTTGTTTTATTTTTATTTATATTAACTTTTACAGGAATGGAACCCTGTTGAAATCAGATGAATTTAATCATAAAAAAATGTTGCTAAACGTAAAAGTCCTACAGGTTTTTCTACAGCTTCTAAATATCATCTGCTTGGCCTGGGTGCAATGCGCACCTATGTGGATTTTTATCTTTGTAAAATCACTGCATGAGATAGAAGAAAATCCTAACATGGGACAGTGGTCATATAATTAAGTAAGTAACTAACACAAACGTATCAATGAGGGAGCGAAAAAAATTATATTACAGCGATTTAGCAATAAGAAGTTATCTATAACTATTTTCCTGTAAGTACAAACAAGTCATCATACCAAATTACTATATATTTTGCTGTATAAAACATCAATAAGGACATAACATAGTACTTAAAAATCACAATCAAATGAACATAAATACCTTTACCGAGAGCCAACTAGAAGGAACACAAAATTTAATATTCGAAAAGGAATATAACGACATCTATCAGAAGTTACACAAAACAACTTGGATGACGTGTGATGAAAGCGTGTGCCCTTTGAGTCCCTTTATAACAAGTAGGTCGGTAACCAATCTGACATTTCATAGATGGCGTTGTAAGGATAATAATGAACTTGATTGTAAAACTCTCTAGGTAGGTACATGTTTGTGGAAAACTTGAATTCGTATTTGCAAACCATTTCTTTGATGTAAGGCTTTTTTGTAAAAATAAGTACTGCTATTATTCACAGAAGGAATAGCTAGTATCGAAGCTACATAGTTCTAATTTACCTACAAAAACGCAAAAACGACAAACTGCCTTCCAATTAGTCACGTTGTTAAGTAGGTACCTTTATCATGTTTGTGTTAAGCCGAGATGAAAAATGGTTTATTATCCCTGTTATTTCCTTAGAGCTTAATAATACTATAATAATATATATAATACCCAAATGATTTTCTTTTACCACGGATTACCTGATGGTAAGCAGTCAGCGTCGCCCATAGACGTAGGAGTTACGAATGCGTTGCCGACCTTTTAGGAATTAGGGATTTGGAGAATCAAGAATTGGGGAGGGATTGGGGGCGGGGTAGGATTGGGCCTCCCGTAACCTCACTTACACGGCGAAACACAACGCTATGGTTGTATCAAGCCAGTTTTCTGTGAGGCCGTGGTATCACTTCGGTCGAGCCGACTCATTCGTGCCGAAGCATGGCTCTCCCACACTTAGATGGTTTTATTACAATAAAGTACTAACAACATACAAAAAAGCATGGCTCTCCCACACTTAGATGGTTTTATTACAATAAAGTACTAACAACATACAAGAGGACATAATGGCTTCAATATTTTCAATATGGCTGCCAAGAAGAACCATTTGCATAAGCCATGGCACATTAAGTTTAAAGGTTATAGAACTAAGTTGTTAGCTTACCTGAGTTGAGTGGTTAGTACCTACTTCCCTACGTGCAAATAATAAGAGTACTGCGGATGTATTAGCTTTTATGGCTTTATTTTCTTTTTATTTTGAACGAAATTATTTCATGGATGGAAAAGTACCTACTATTGTTTATTTACACACAAAAAAGTTTATGCATAAAGCGGTGATGAAGAACTTCACGTGCCACTGTACCATTTTTGAAAAAAATTGTTGTTAAGCTCATTAATGTTCCGCATAAGTTTGACTTTTTATAAGTAGTTAGTTAGCTTATTATCCTTAGTAAAGCAGTTTACGGGACCCAAATAATCAGTTACACTACAGCCTAAGTAAGTAAACCTTCAAATCTAAAAAATATAACAAGAGCGTTATTGGTGGTAAAAATGAACACTGACATGCGTAAAATATGCTATGGCGTGTCATCAGAGGCACGCGTGTCCACAAATTGCCATCCCTTCCAAAGTGAACCTAATTTATATGATTTTCATGTGATATTATTAGGAAGTAAAATAGCATAATTGCTTTTAAATAGGAAAAGATGGTAAATTGAGTTCATATTAACTTAAAACTACGACATACTACTTATAAAACTCCATATTAAATATGTATATTAACTTCATATTAATAATCTTATCAACGACAATGAGCTTGTGATGCATGAAAGGTACCGCCTCCAGTTTTTTATTAGGACCGTCAAGAAAAGGAATGATTTGAGAGACACTCTGTTCCCTGAATCGAATCTATTACCTGGGTGTCTTCAAAGACCAAGTAAAGATGTTGCTTACGTCTAGTCGTGCTCAATCGAAACCGAATCATTGTTTATCACCAGGCGAGATAGTGAACTACATATATTTCATGCAAAAAATCTCCTAAAACAAGGTGTTATGCCAACTCGCATATTTTTATTTAAAAATAAAATAAAATAATTAATGTTGACTGCTTCAAGTTATCCCTTCAATTCCAGCAAAATTGTGGCAAAGTGTCCTCACATAACTGGATTCTTGGCGAAATATGGTTCTTCGTTCGTCAGTCATTATTAAGTTACCGTCCTTAGACTGTAGACAGGACGCGTCGCTTATTCCATTTTTAGCATTTACTCCTTTGTAGCAAATTGCGTTTAATTACTTTCAAAGTGTTTTACTAAAATAAACTTCGCAGACGGTAGGTGAGTTTTTTTAACGTATTTTTAAGTAAAGTTTTGTAATTAGAGTCTTTGATAACTTTTATCCGTTAATTTGTCTGTATTTTGTTATAAAAAATAATAAGAATATCGCCCGAGGTTTGCCGTTGTAGTCTTGTCTAGTCAGCGTTTTTGCTAGATACTCATGAAACAACTAGCAAAAAGTACACGATGGGAATATAATATATTATTGAGCCGCCATTATTACAAAAAAGAAATACTTGAAAGTTGGACACCACTCAATCAATATAACATTCTTTATCAGTTGTGGGTCACAGAGTTAATGAGCTGAGGAATAGCGAACAAGGCTAGCTCATTGCCCAATCAGAACAAGACCCGAGCATATGGCGCTTAGCATCCAGTGTAGAAGAGCCTGTAGGTTACGCACATATTGTACTTTGTACCTGTAAGAATTTATTATGTATGTGTGTGTCAGTCGCCAATACCTATATCATGATCGCTTTCGGATGTTTTATTTCCTTGACACCCTTCTGATCTGATATTATGTAGTTGGATATGGCCTGTGAACAGACCTTATTCATAATAGCTAACAGCCAATAGACCATATAACAGGGCTGATGCTCCACCAGGGTCGTGGGGCAAGCGGAATAAAATACTGCGACATCAGCCTACAGCAGGCGAAGAAACAGGGGTTTTTATTTTTAGTCAGTAAGACTCTCTCTCGTCTCATCCTGAGAGAAAAGTCATTTGATTA